TTTTGCGGAAAAAAAGTCAAACTTTTATTTTGAAGGCCCAATTTTCTAATGCTGTGCATGCAGTAGGTGTTGGACTGGAAGTACCGGAGACCAGTAGTCACGTAGTGATCATCTTCTCAATAAAACATCTTTGCTGATGTTTTTTCGAGTCTTCTGGCCAATCAGAATCAAGATTGTTGCCGGAAGTCCCCACGGAGAATAACTTTGGGGTAGAACTATTCTTTATACATCCATGGGTACAACTTCAGATACAAATGAACACATAATGAAATATGACCCCCGGTTTGATGATTGACAGGTCACAGAACAATGGGGGCTATCTACCCTTACCCACAATTTAAAGTAAGTCACAAAGACTATCCCCTCTTTGCTCTTCTCTCTGTGAGGAGCAGCAAGCTATCAGAACTAAGTGAAAAACAAACAATGGCATAAATTATTATTAATATGTCGGGTAGTAATAGATTTATTTAGTTTCTTCTCAGAGTGTACCAGAATGCGTAGTTTATGTTAGTATTTCAAAAAATCTCTTAAAGCATACTTAGTTCTGAAGGGAGATATGCCACGGTGTACTTCACTTTATAATGAATGTATGCTGAAAAGGTATATTACAGCACGATTTTGTGAAGTAGATTGAGTGCTTCAAGAAATGTCTGTTAATTCGGGTCCGCGATTTATTGACCAAGTAAAGTGAAGTGGTACCCTCCGAGGCCGACAGTTTAGAAACCACTGGTGTTAGGTAACAGTTTATTTGGACATTTTTCAAGTATTTTTGGGCACATTATTAGTGCTTTGTCGCTTCATTGCCTGATCGAACGTATATGTGATTATCTGATTTTATTTCTGAAGTCAACCAGAGCTTATTGTTAATAATTCAATCACGTTTCGTATCTTTTTCAGGCTTAGAAATTAAAAAAAGATCAGGATAACACCGCTTCGAATCATGTTAAGAGCATAACAATAACTGTGCTACAATTGTTAGCTAGAAATGGACTGTCGTAAACGAGCTGACAGATAATAAATCATTTAAAACCGTGATCTGCCTAGCAATGGGTTACGTTAGTGCCCCAGGAACACCTCCCCCCAAAGCAGCTGGTAATTATCGGTCCTGCTTGGTCCAGCATGCTGGATTGAGATTAAAGATCTATGTCTATGGTATTGTTTTTATTTTTTTTTTTTTGTTTAGCTTTTTGATGAGGTCACTGAGATAT